CTTTGTATGGTCGACAGGGCCGTTTCTGCCGTTGTCATTTCCGGTGCCTAGGTCGATGCCAGGTGATCCATCCAGTTTCATTTCTTTGAGTCTTTGTAGCGATTGGTACAACTGAGTGGCTTGCTAAGCCATTTCAGAGGGCAGTTGAGAGTCAAGCACGTTGTTGTGGGTCTGTAGTCACATGTAGGCCAGACCAAGTGAGGGTGGCAGATTTCTTCCCCTGAAGGACATTAGTGAAACAGATGGGTTTTTCCGACAATCGGCAATGGTTTCATGGTGATCAGTTGATTCTTAATTCCAGACTTTTTTTTTGAATTCCAATTCCACCATCTGCCGTGGTGGGATTAGAACCCTGGTCCCCAGAACATCAGTTGGGTTTCTGGACTAATAGTCTAACGATAATACCACTAGGCCATCGTCTAACCACTGCAGTGAAGGCTGGGGCCCAAGCTTGATGCGATGAAATTGATTGAGAAAGATTAATCTAGATTGGCTCAACGTTTTTGGATTAGGAAATGGCTACCTGAGTGAAGTCCTAATTAAATACCCAGAAGTTTTTCAGGAAGGTCTAGGACTATCAAAGGAGGCAAGGCCATCTTGCATGTTGGCCCGGAAGCAAATCCACAATTCTGCAAGTGCCACTGCCTTACAGGCAAAAGTAGAGACAGAAATCAGAAGGCTGGAAAGCAGAGGAATCATCAAAACAGTCCAGTTTGTGGAGCAGGTTAGATGAGGACTCCCAGAAGTATGCAACAATTAATACTCATAAGGGTCTGTATCAATATAGGAGACTGCCATTTGGTATATCGTCAGCCTGTGTAATTTTTCAGTGGACAACCGGGAACATTTTACAAGGTCTACCCCAGGTCACCATTTATCTAGATGGTGTGCTAATAACAGGGAAGACCAATAAGGAGCACTTAGAGAACTTGGACATAATCCTCAGATGTTTGCCCCAGGCCACATATGCTAGACAGTAGACAAGACCGGGTTACACCCATAGGAAGATAAAGTGAGGGCAATCAAATTTACCTCAGCTCCAACCTCTAATGGAGCTCAGGTCTTTCCTTGGGCTGGTGAATTATTACAAAACGTTAAAAGATAACCTAACCTCGATCCTGGCACCTTTGCATCAACACTTTAAAAAGGGTCAGCCTTGGAAATGCTCACATAGCCAAGCCATAGCCTTCAGGGAAGTGAAGAAACAGCTATCATCCTTGAAGGTGTTGGCATACTATTATCCCAAGCGAGATCTGGTATTGTCATGTGATGCCTCCACGTACGGCATCGGGGTAGTATTAGCTTATACGTGGCCCAAAGAAGAGTTACACCCAATAGCGTATGCATCCTGTACTTTGGTTAATGCAGAGTGTAAATACACCCAGACACAGAAGGAAGGTTTGGCAGTCATATTTGGAGGCAGGAAGTCCATCCATACCTCTACGGAATAGATTTGTAACAATAATGAACCACAAACCCTGCTTGGTCTTACTAACGATGACAAGGTTGTGCCACCCATAGCTTCAGACTGAATTCAGTGGTGGGCTCCAATATTATTTTGTACAAAATTACAAGTTGGATAACCGTCCGGGAAGTGAAGTAGCATATTCATTGAGCACCTCCCACATGCAGATACACCACCAGCGGTATCACCAATGAAAGAGTCTGTACTGGTTTTAAAATTTTCTGCATACACTTCCAGAAGTCACAGCTGACAATATCAGTCTTTGAATGTAGAAAGATCTGATCCTGGAAAAACTGAAACAACTGGTGATGGGCAAAACCAAAGGGCCGTCACAACCAGAATTGAAACCTTTTTGCACCCAGACAGACCAGATCACAGCAGAAGAGGGCGTATTTCTGGGGAGTAAGTGCGATTGTCCAGATGCTGGCTGAACTCCACCAGGGTCTGGCAAGACATTATGTCTGGTGGCCAGGCTTGGATGTAGATACAGCCCAAGTTTGTGGGGCAGTGCCCAGAGTGCCAACAAGGACAAAAATTGCCACCAGCAACTCCCACACAATTGTGCGAATGGCAGGTAAACCCTGGACTTGGTTACAAGTCAATGATGCAGACCCTTTCATGGGCTGAATGTCCCAAGTCATTGTGGACACCCATTCAAAGTGGCTAGACGTGCAGAGTCACAGAGCATGGGCCATCCTTTACAAGCAGGGAATTTGAATATTTCCTAAAGTTGAATGCCACTCAACACCCAAAGACAGCTCCATGCCATCCATCATCCAATGGTGTGGTAAAGTCTAAACTGTGAATGCAGGCTTAAAGAAACAGCCTACAGCTTCACTAGATAGCAAACTGCCCTGGTTCCTATTTGATTATAGGACCACCCTTCATGCAACTACAAGGATAGCTCCAGCAGAATTGCCAATGGAGAGAAGATTCTGCACCAGGTTAAATTTCATTTTGTTAGACCTTGGAGGGGTGTTGAAACAGCACGAGGAATGCTGTTTACTTCAGGGGATGAAGTGTAGGAATCATGGGAATGGCCCTGCATGGGTAAGAGGCATGGTTGACGTGAGGTTAAGTTGGGTATGTTCAAAGTTTGGGTGGGTGCAACAGTCCTGAACAAGCACGTGAACCATACGAGAGCTGCAAATTCGCAAACAAGGCGGGAGCAAAACATGTCCGGCTCATCAAAACAGCTGGAAAGACTGGCAGAACCCATGGGTTCTCCCTCAAGTGTTGGAGACCTTGGAATCTGGGATGGGCATGGCAGATATCACCTTCTCAATACCTTTGCTGCCTGAAAAGAATAATTTCTTCTCAGATGCTTCAGGTACAAGAGGCAAACTACTGTTACACACTGCCTGTATCTAAGGCAGAGTCAGAGGAACCTGATCCTGTGCAAAAACACCTCGGGGAGCTCAAAAAAAAGAACCAGCCTATGTCCTCAGACTCAGAGGGTGAGGGATACAGAGTTGTAACGAGGTCAGTCAAATGGACATCGGAATATTAATTCCTTGATTAGGACTGTTAATCTGGTCCAATCAGGCTGACAGGTAAGAACGAGATTGTCAGTTGAAGAGGAAAAAAAAAGAACAGGATTGTCACACATCCCCACACTCAGGGCTGGCTTTGTGGGAACTGGATCAGTGTTAAGGACTCTCCACATATAAATAAAGGGTAACTTGGTGATGGGATACCAGCAGAGTTATTCCATATATCAAAGTTTAAAAGTATGTACGTTCTGTCCCACACCTTGAATGCAACATGTTTGAATCTCAGATTGGATTCCTACAGCACTAAAAACCTATTGAAAGTTAACATACTTCATAGGTGCACTATACTCATGTAACTTGTGTATGACTTTTTGATGCAGTTGAGCAAAACATTCTCAAATATCTTTGTTGTCAAATTCCATGGAATTGCTCTTGCAAGGTTCCACTTTTAGTCAAAGGCAATAAAAATCCAACAATGGTTTCTCTTGCTGCCAAGTTACCTTTAGTGCCCCCAAGTATCCATCCTATGTTATTCCATTTCTTCCTCTTGGATTACTTCTTTGGAGATGGAGCATACCAAATGACACCTCTCCAGAAGGTCTCTTGAACACGGCCACTTCAAATAATGTTGTTGGTCCGCTTGTTCAACATCCATTCTTGGAACTGATCATTGGGAAGACCGAAACCATAATCTTTCAGCTTCTCAAACTTCATTTCCTCATCACATATTCTAAGCCCTTCTTCAGTCACTATTTGACACCCAGACTGTTTGCAACCTTAGTTTTTGACTTCAGCTACCAATTATGCAATTCAATGAGAAAGCCTACTGATTTCAATCAAGATAACAATGCCTGCTTTTGTCCCACCTCTGCCCATCTTCTGTTGAAACCAGCATCCATGTCCTTGCCACCTCCGACGTGGAAGTGCAGGTGTTGGATTCGCATGCACAAGGTCAAGAATTAGGCGACATCAGGTTAAAGTCCAACAGGGTTATTTGAAATCAAGTTTTTTTGAGTGTAGCCCCTTCGGCAGGTGAAGTCACTTCACCTGACGAAGGGGCTATGCTCCAAAAGCTTGTGATTTCAAATAAACCTTTTGGACTATAATCTGGTGTCATCTGATTCCTGACTTTTGCCATCTTCAATCTTGAATAGTCCAATATTCTTTTGGTTAGATTTTTATGACCTGTAGTCTTTTAACTCATCCAAAATACCATTAACCCTATCATAACCTACATTAAATTATGCTCCCTGTCACCCCGTGCTTGCTGAGCTATATTGGCTCCCTCAACGTTTCAAACATAAAATTCACATCTTATTCAAATGCCACCATACTCTTGCCTCGTGGTCTCCACATCTGTATGAATCCTTCAAACTTACATTCTTTGAACATCTGTTTCATTACTTTGATATTCTTATACATCACCCAAATTTTTCCGATTGTTAGTAGGCTTTCAACTGTCTCAGTCCTCTATGTCCTGAAATCTCTCAAAACATGTCTGCTACTCCAAATTCCTGTCCTGCTTTTACACCCTTCTTAAAGCTCTTTTTCTTCTTCCCAAAATCAGACTATATTTTGCAAGTTAATGGCTTCTGGGCATTTATTTTCAACAAAATAAACAATAAAAATAAAAACAGATTCAGAGATAGTAGGAACTGCCGAGGCTGGAGAATCTGAGATAACAAGGTGTACAGCTGGATGAACACAGCACGTCAGGCAGCATCATAAGAGCAGGAAATCTGACGTTTAGGGTCTGGACCCAATTTCTGAAGAAGGGTCCAGACCCAAAATGTCAGCTTTCCTGCTCCTCTTGATGCTGCTTGGCCTGCTGTGTTCGTCCAGCTCTACACCTTGTTATATCAAAAATAAAAACTGGTCATCTTTTCATTTCATTGTTATTAGAAATCAAATAAGTTGAATTTGAGTGTTCCAATCTGACATATTTACAATGACAAGAACAGACAATGATGAGGTAAATGTTTTTTGTGGTAACTTCAATAAGGTGGACTGAGTAAACATGCAAAATGGGATCATGAACTTACTTTACATCAACAATGTCGTACAATTTCTTGATGAACTCTGAGTCAGGATGATTGTGTTCACTGGTCAAAGTATGAAAATACACCAAGACAAACTCTCTTGCAGCAACGTGGTCCATAATATGAATAAAATACAGTAGAGCCTAAAAATAATAACAAATCATTACAACTACAGTCTATCACTCAATCATGTTTATTTTCACTGCTTTCAAAGGGAATGGAGTACAAAAACTGAGCTGTTGCTAAAACCATACAAGACACAAGACACAAGGTCAGAACACAGCTGGAATACGTTGAACAGTTTTGGGCACTTTAAGGAAAGATATACTGGCATTCGAGGCTGTCCAGAGAAGATTCACAAGGCTGAACCCAGATATGGGGGACTATCTTATGAGGACAGGATGTGTAGATTGGACCTGTACTCATTAGAGTTTAAAAGAATGAGAGATGACCTCATTGAAACATTCAACATTCAGGATAGGTGTGGAAAGGTCATTTTCCTTTATGGCAGAGTCATAGAATCTCACAGTACAGAACAGGCCCTTCCGTCCATTCGGTCTGTACTGACAAAAACATACTACTACCTACACTAGTGCCACTTTCCCCCACTAATCCCATTAATTAGCCTTGAATGCTGTGACACTTCTGGTGCACATCCAAATATAACTTAAAGGTGGAGAGGTTTCCTGCCTCACCTATCATTCCAGGAAGTATATTCCAAACTCTCACCACCCTCTGGATGAAAAGATTTTTCTCAAATCCCCTCTAAACGTCTGGCCTTCCACTTGAAAATTATGTTCCCTTGGTACTAACATTGACTAAAGAGAACAGTCGTTTTCTTTTACCCTAACTTTGTGCAGTTCTGGTTACCAAATGGTAAACCAAAGTTCTGTACCTTGCTTCTATTATAATCTACACCACGACTTAAAAAGGCAAATTCCCCATATGCTTTGACTACTCTATTAATCTGTCGTGTTGCCTTCATGAATCTGTGGACATCACCCCAAGATCCCTCTGAGCTTCCCCGTGCCTTGACATTCACTGAGTACTCCCTTGTCTTATTCCTTCTTCCAAAGTGCATCACCGTGACATTTATCAGGATTAACTTCCATCTGCTACTGATCTGCCCATCTGACTAATCCATTATATCCTCCTCTGACCTACCACCTTTTGGTCTAGGATCAGAGGGCATAATGTCAGAGGGGTGGTGGTCACCCATTTAAGACACAGACAAGGAGGAAATTCTCTCAAAAGGTCAGCAAATCTGCGGAATTCTTTACTGTTGAAACTAATCATTAAAGATATTCAAGACAAAGACAGGCAGATTTTTAATCAGTAAGGGAATCAAGGGTTTTGAGGAAAAGACAAAGTGTGGTTGGGCATTATTAAAGCGACCACAATCTCAACGAATGGCAGAGCAACCTTGAGGGGCTTAATGACCCCCTTCCACTGCTGTCTTAGGGGTTTCAAAACAAATCTAAAAAACCCTGTCTTCAAATCAAATAAATTGCAAACAGGTTTTAGCGATGTGCAAAAGAAACTGTCATAAGCTCGATTTTTACTTAGATTGGAAATGTTTGGGGAAAACCAGAAGTCAGAATTTCGCTGTACATTTGGGGTTTGGGATGGGGAACGGAGGTAGGATCGGCTGTAAGATCATTAGCTTCTCAGGTGGGAATGCTGGCTCTAACAGATAGGTCTAACAGTGTTCATCTGCTGGAAATGGCAGCCTCTGTCATGATATTGCTGTCAGGAAGCCCAGCTACGAATAGTTAATTCAAAAAGCTTAAAATTGATGAGGTTTGCAGCTTCAATATCCCATCAGAATGGTTAAAAGCACTATACCACCACCTGGGAGCAGGTTAGTCACCTGCTCAACTTCTTCCTTCAATTAAAGCCAAAGTTGGGTGAACTGGCAGGACAAAGTGCAAGATAGATTTGGATCAGGAACCTTTTCCTCCCAATCTGAATCGAACTCCACACTTTGGGTTAAATTTAATTCTCCCTGACAAGAAGCAAGCACGTGAAAACCAATTTAGCAATATACTAAATAATGTGCTGATAAAATGGATTCTCTGTGATGGTGTTATACAGTTACAATGTTTTTGATTCTAAACACTCAGGTTTTCAAATAAGGCTCAAAAGGGAGATTCTAGAGTCAAACTGGAACAGATTTCTGGCTGTGCCATGGGAACTATCTTCAAATTCTATATTCCACAATCTCGCTATTATTTGTTGCCATAATGCAACATTAGTTCTGCTGTAGAATACAGAGAAAATAAACTTTTAATGACAGCATTTTTGGAAGTGATGCTTTCTGCCTCCAAAATGATGCCCGTGTCTCTCTAGATGTTTCTCAAAGGTTCTGTACAAACATTCCTAAATGTGGCATACATAGTAAAGATATTTGGAAGATCATCTAACCCACTTATCTCTCCAAGCTTAGGAACAGTTTGCAAAGAAATTATTCCTCTCCCCTATCCAGAGGAAACAAAGGATAAATCTGCTTCAACTCTAAAGGAAAGAAATGAATAGCTTTGCTTGGTTGGCTAAATGGCAGATGCACACTAACGAATGGCTTCAATCTCTGTTCCAGATGAGGTAGACCAAAATTCTATCTCATCGGCCTTTCGCAAAACCACAGAATATGCTGTGGTTCAGTGACCCTCATTGAGGTTGCTGCTTAAAGAATAGAAAAAGACTTGATGTGAAAGTCACTGATAAACAAAGAGGAGGAGATTGAATATTTGATATAATCTGATGAAACAGATCTTACTCAGTAAAAGTAAAGTTGAGGGCACAGTAAAATGTATTTGAATTAATGCAGTGGTCAGCCTGTAATTATGGATGAATTATTTAGGAACTATTCTGAAATAAAATAAAGCTCTAAAAATTTTACTGTTTCAAGCTGTTCATGCAGCAGACAAATATTTGTCCAAAGCAAACTGACAATAAAGTCATTTTAAAATGAAGTCTTACTTTATCTGGGTCTATTAGAGTTACAGGAATATTCCTTCCTACTATCACCACCACTGTACGTCCACATTTATCATATCCTGCAGAAATACAAATTGTTTACACTGTTAGGAGTACACACTTTAAGCTTGTTCAGGAAAATGTTTTCATTTTTGAAACCAAGTAACAGAATTACACAAATGGAAGTAAAATTGTAAATGCTGAAAATGTGACAATAGAAAATGGTGTTATATTACAGTTTGTTCATCAATATCTGTAGAAATACAGCAAAAAAGCCAATATTTTAGGTGTATCATTCTTCCTCAGAAAGGGTTTTTAAAGTGCTCATGTCCCAGACAACTACAGGTGCCAAAAAGTTTGTTAGTTGGAGGAGCTCAAGTTGTAGCTTTTGGAGTTTAAGTACAGACTGGTGCTACTCAAGTGATACGCAAGGCTGAGATCAACAGATAGCACGTTTCTGGTGCATCAGCCCACTCCTTAAGGACGTAGAGACAGAGAGGAAGTGGGTGACTGCCAGGTAAGCAAGGACCAGAGAGGCAGCACGAGAGTCCCAGTGTGCCATCTATTAGATTTGGAATAGTGATGAGAGTGATGGCTTCCTTGGGAGGGCAGTCTAAGCCAAGTCCATGGTGCCACAGGTGGCTCAGCTATACTGGAACCTGAAGGAAGGTTTAGAAGAGCAATAGTGATAGGCGATTTGTTAGTTAGGGGAACAGACAGCTTTTCTTCAGTATGAATCAAGATGGCATGCTGCTTTACCAGTGCTAGGGTCAAGGATGTTACTGATCACCTGCAGTGCACCAATGCAGGAGGGTGAATAGTCTTCAGTCGTGGTTCATATTGGTACCAATGATTTTGATCCACTTTCTACCCAAGTCCTACAAGGCAGATTTAAAAGTGAGGGGTTGGGGT